TGGTCTACTCATGTTTCATTTGGTTGCAACATATGTATACCAAGGAATCATCTCAGTGCCATTTCTGTGACTTCCAATCATTTGATGATTGGTTTTGAATACCAAGTCTTTGCTTGGCATAAGAATTTCAATCCTTTACCTTATTATTGGTGGAAGGATTTGGCAAGTTTGTCTTTATGACCATATGATAAAAGACAATTGTCAAGAATGTTTATCAATACTCAAGCAAGCAAAATAATACAATCAACCAATGATGAAAAAAACAAATGCCATTATTCAAATGATCTAGATCACTAACATATAAGCCAGTCCTTTGAAAGATCCCACTCTCAACTCTTGTCCAAATAAGCAGAGGTATAAGGCAACAATACAGATTATAGTATGAAGAATTATGCAAAATATTTCTGAAAACTCATCATGATCATACTGTTTTTATACCATTCTGGTGTGGAACTCTCAGTAGGCTGTTGATGATGACTTTGTTGTCGATTGGATGGTGAAAAGTCAAGTCAATAATCAAATCATCATCATACATGATTATTATATTTTTATTGGACAGTTTTGCCATTTCTTAACAGTTCATTGGATAATATCAACAACACTTACTATTGTGAGTATTAGTCAACTCATTGATAAGAAAACTGAAACAAAACTGAGAAGTTAAGATGATATTGCATATATTTTAGAATGTAAGATGATGATAATTTGTGAATCCAAGGCACATATAAGTAATATTCAGTTAAACCAGAATAATCTGATGGATTTAAATCTTCAATTGAAGAATGATATAAACTGATTTCTTTTAATGAATTAAATGATCTTGATAGATTAGATGTGATTTGACATCTATCCAAATATGATGTATCAAGTGAAATTGAAATATCTTGAATCATAAGTGAACTTAACTGATTTGAATGTTTTGTCAAATGATCAAAAATATTTAAATTCTCCTCGGTTGATTGAGAATTAGTTGAATTCTGAAGATCTTGTACTTTAAAAAGTTGATCGATTTTTCCAATCTTGAGTCACTTTAAATTTTCGCATGATTTAAGAAAGTTAAGAAACCTTCTTGTGTGATTTGTGAACAATTTGTTCAGATTAAATTTGTTAGATCAGATGATCGATGTGGGTTTTGAAATGAATCATAAAGTGAATTACATATTTATGAAGCATTTAATGATTCGTCCGTCAATTGATGATTGATAGTTATATTCGGTGACTTTAATGTCAACTTGATGAGAAAGTTGTTTGTGAAGAGGACTTTTTGATGATGAACTAGATTCCGCTCGTTGTTGTTGTTGCGGTTTCTGCTGTTGTTCAGGATTGGCTGTGGTTGCTATTTTTCTTCCATTTGATAAAAATCGACTTGTAAAAAGTTCATTAAATTCAAATTCACCAAATCTTCAAGTTTTAAGATTTCATTAATCAAAGTTTTATAAAACTCTTGACGTGACTGTTGAATTTGTTGACGATGCTTTGAGATGATGGAAGCTGAAATTGTTTTTGATTTTGGATAAAGAAACAAGTCAAGTTCAATGAATCCTTTGAAATGATAGTCTTGATAGATTTCAAGATTGAGTTGAATTCGAATCGATTTCTTTAACTGATAAAGATCGATTTAGTTGAGAATTGACTTAGAACCAATCCTTGATAATTTGATGATTGGGATCGAAGTGGGATGCTGGTTTGATGAATAGAAATGATTTGTTTTTAAACTTGGAATCCATCATGATAATATGATACTTGATTCCAAAGCTTAGAACTCCTTAAACATTTCACTAAATCAGATGTGCTCAATCAAACTCATTCATCTAGCAAAATGTTTGAAATATCCAAAACATTAAGAAATCATTAATTCCAAATTTCTCATAGATTGAATGGTGTAAATTGATACAAAAAAAGGATTGAGTCAGTTTTAGATTATTCAAAATGACAAAAGAGTGAAAGATAAAACAAAGGACTCACATGACTAGTAGAGATGTATAAAAGTTCAAGATTTTCCAAACATGGATTTGTCATCATAGATGATACGGCTGTCGACGACGATGATGGTGGTGGTGGACTGTGGTTAAGGTGTTTAGTTGTGAAGGAATGTTATGGGTGCCCAAAGGTACGACGGCACCCAGATAATTCCATGAAAGTCGGGGATGAACAAGGGAGTAGAGAGCCCGGTAAAGATCGGTACCGGGCCTAATAGAGAATCTATCGCCACGACTTCGAGAGATTCGAATTTGAAATCTACATCGAAGTCGAAAACTTTTCATCCCACTAACATCACCTATCAGAACATACCCAAAAGGTAACCAACGTATGGAGCGTGATGTCATTTTATCAGGACACCCCTGGGGTGGAAGAGGAAACTGACACAACACAGAAGAGAAAATTGAGGACACAGAAGAGAAATTATAATAGAGAAATATAGCCCATACACGCTAGAAAAAAGAAACCGGGTTTAACTCGTGAAACAAAGAAAGCTATCAGAGACAAAATACAAACAAACGTTTTTTTTTTTTTTAAAAAAAAAACATCGGAAAGACACATGGAATGAAAACCAATAAAGAAGTGAAAGCGTTGTGGAGACATGAGAATGGATGAGGGCGGGCGGGTTTTTGAGAAGAGTCGTCCATGGTAGACGCCTAAACCGTCGCTGAACGTAACAGTCGATGTGAAGTTTGCGATAACTGAAAGAGAAACGCTGACTGTCACAACATCCAACAGGAATGTGGGATGAGTGAGGACACTCGAACTGATGGTTTTTTTTTTTTTTTTTTTTGCATGGCTTTAAGTGTTTATTGAGCCGTTAGGCTATCAAACACTATGTAATAT